AACTTTCAGGAAAGGGGGCATCGGTGGAGCGGTTCGAACCCGGGGCCTCTGAGCCGCAATTTGGTGACCCAACCACTTGGCTACCACCATCATTGAGATATGATGACTTTATCATGGCGACCGCAACACTTCACGTTTAACTCATAGTTACTTTTAAGTAGTGCTACGGCATGATTTTGGCTAAATGCCATTCGGAGTTCCTCTTGATGCACGTTTTTTTTCTTAATTTATTCACTGCACTAAGCCATAGCGATGAGCACCAGAAAGAGTGGTACGCAATCCTAGTGCCACATTGGCCGAATGAGCTAAGGATTGTGCGTGAAGATAAAATCTAGAGGATGATCAATCAAAAGCAAAAAATGACACTACCCAGCCGCCTTTGGGAACAGTGGTCGTCAGAATACTTATCTGGAGGTTCTGAATTCAAAGCCCGTCACCGCTGCTACTGCTCATCTTCCCCACATCTATATTTCCCCTGGTAGCCTTTATACGGCTGCGGCCCTCTTCCTGAGAGTTGACTTTACATTTGTATACCCAAATATGCAGCACAGTAATGAGGTGAGGCAAACTCGGGTTGATCAAACACCTAGTGAACAAAGAGAAAATAAATAATTTCGATACACGTGTCATAAATTCACAAGAAAGTGCCCGGAGAAGGAGAGCTGTCTATTACGAACAACGGTAAAGGTATCGATAAATTGGCGTACATACAACAAATCGTCTCATTTGGAACTGATGATCATAATTCCTGCAAGCCCGCAGGATGATTAATGGAACGGTTCGACAGTAGATGCACATTTTCTGTAGTTACAAAAGTAAATCTTTTAATCCACTGGTGAATTCCGTGGGAATTCAACAGCCCCTTCTTAGTGTACAAACTACTCACAAGAGTGAATAGTATCTCACAACATTATTATCAATCGCGATAAGATTGACAAGTGAAACCGGAGAGACCGAAACAAATCAACAATGTGCATCGCCAACTTACTCATCCGTGGCTAATACGATGAAGTTTTTCGCACCCTTGAGGTCTGACCAAGTGGAAGTGGGGATGTTGTTTGTCGCCTCTGGGGGCAGAATTGTGCCCAAAGTGATCCCGACGTGTTTGCAATCATGACTGCTAACAATAACGAAATCCCCGGGAATCGGCTCGAGCTCACTAAAACGAGAAGGAGAAACTGAAAGCATTGAAGACGCCAGCATACAAAAAGTAATTTATTTATAAACCGGCCATATATAGTTGACCTCCTGACTTGATGCCATTCCGATTGCTATAGAGCACAAATATATACGTACATTTTCAAAGACTGGAGAATGATGGTCACCTAAGGGGGGTCGACTACTCGAAGAGTCATAGACCATTCCATTTACAGTAAACACAGATCAAACGTCCGTGGTCTTGAACAAGTAGGGATGGATTACAGAGTGTGGTGCGCCATCACTTTGGTTTTCGCCAAAGCAAATAGTTTCATTGACCAAATTTACCGTTTAGAAATTTTTCTCAACTAGTAAGATCAGTAATGACGGTTTGCTTCATTTCTTGTTGATTTAAATTACACCGGTATGATCATCAAAAATAGAAGGATTATTAAGTTACGGAGGGCAGAAACCGCGAATCTGGAGAACCGTACAAAACACAAAGGGGACAGACACTGTATAGTGAGTGAACCAGAGGATAAAGGAATCATTTTCCATCACATCTCGGTAGAGTTGGTAATAGCAGGATTCCAGCCTTTAACGCTTACATCCGGTGTATCCTTGTGACAGCGAATCAAACCATTCGATCGTGACCGCCGTCACCTGTTTATAAAAGAAACCAACAATGCAGCATTCGCTATTTTCTATCTCACCTGATTGTGGAGACTGTTCCATGTGGAGAGGTAATCGGAGAAAGCAACGTAATCCAACGACTATCCGAAGAGTTGCGCACCCGGAGGACAATTCGAAGAGATCGATTGGAAAACTGCGTTTCATGTTCGCTGAAAAGAAAAGAAAGGTAGTTTATAGTGAGTATCCAGGCCACAATATTGGATACGAAGAGACCGAGGTTGAGGACTAAAGTAAATCGATGGGAATAGAATCGAGAGAGAGAGAGAGAATGAAGTTCCGAAAGTAAGTCGGCATTCTTACTGAGATAAGACTTCAAATCTTTGGCATGACACAAATCTGCAGCAGTTCAGAATCAACACGATCGATAATGGTGGACAAGGTCCTATTTTAATAACGAATGCTCGTGTTGGTGCCATCACGATGGCCTGGATACAACATATGGTGATCAGGCAGAGTAGTATTACCGAGCCACGTGTATGAGCACAATTGTCACCACTTTTGTGCTCCCTCAACGCCGGGTTACGTGAACACAGGATTCGAATCAGGGCATCACGTACGCACGCGCGCGAGCGAACAAATAATATGATCGTGATGGGGGATGCGATTCGATCGTATAGTTGATTTCGTCCTATAAAGAGCAAATACAACGTGAACGGAAAAGCTGGAAAGCACTGGACAGTTGATAGGCCAATAGAAACGCGCAGCACAGCACTGAAACAGCTTTCCAGTTCACGTTTCATTCATTTGCTCAGTACACAATGAAATTCAATATACCAACATTTGATAGTTTGACCAGTAGAACTAAGAACAAGGCATTGAATGACACTTGCATATAACAAAAACCGACCTCCGTAAACATGGCACCAACCGGCGATACTACGGTTCTCGTTAGGCTACCAAAGTGCGAGAATTACTCGCATCCGGTTTTCTATACCATATGGCTCGGTATTAAGACATGACACAGTCCTTGCACACGACACCATCAGTTAGCCCGATGCTCAAAGAGTTTCGACTTTATTTAGAAACCGAAAATAGAATCAACAACAACAACAACAAGATAGCCAAGTTAACCAAGGATTTAGCTCTTGTGCCTTTATTCGCAGTGGTTTAGTCGCCATCACCGGCGTGCTTTGGACCCTATGGTTTGAGGTTCAAGCCCCGTTACCCTTACTCGACTTTGGTGGTACGCAGCTTTGCTGTCGTCCGGTTCAATACCACACCCAACCTAACAGGGCCTTATGCGGCTCACCACTCCAAGTCCAAGGGCTTAGGTTACCGGTTTCCATCAGTGAACAGCAGGTCCTCGTGACTATAGGATTTATGCCGCCACACTAAGGCGTGTAAAAAAAGATTGAAAAATAATATTGTGTGGTGGTGCATCAGTTTTGACTTTGTTCTCTCACAAATTAATAAATATCAAGTAGTGCTCGCCAAGAGTTTAGGTACCATATAACCCATTTGTGCTAAGCACTAAAAAGGGATGACCAGAGTATCGACAGTATGGAGACCACCTCTGTGTGTGTGGTCACCTTAACTTTCTGAGACAACAGTCATTTGTCGAATGGGCACATCGGAATACTTACCCGGATGGGTGGACGCTACCACCGGTCACAATTCGACGAACCACATTTTCCAGGCGATCTGTATCGGCCAGTTCCAACAAATTTAACCGGGACCAATGGAAGAAAAAACTCACATGCTGTGAAGTCAAATGCGCGCGTCTGACTGAGAGCAATTGATCGACACTTTCTATCTGACCAACTGAGCTAGTACTGTGCACGAGTAATGATGTGGATAGAAGAGTACCAGGAAAGCAGAGTCAGCAAATGCCTGTGAATACATGTAAACTTGTCAAACAACATGACCCATTAATCCAAACCATCATTCGAAGGAAAATCAAATCCGGCCGTATAATGATATCAAAATCACTGCTAACTCGCATAGGTTATTAAAATAGTAATAATAACAAAAATACATGTGCCGATCATACATGTATCAAGTATCAACATTTTATTTTTGTACTGATATTTGTATCGATTTCGGGTCACAGGAAAGACTGACGCTCCAATGGTCCACATAATCACAGCTACATTCGCATCGATTACATGGAGATAATGACCATCTGATCACATCATAGGAAGTTTACACTGTTGACAAAATGTTGAAAATTGGTTCTCGTAGCTCAGGTGAACTGAATTCCATTTTGTCCGTTCGCCGAGCTTGGCAATTTGTTTGCAAACAAATCGCCAAGCTCGGCGAACGGGCGAAAGTTTACACTGCACAGATAATAGACCCTACAATGGTGAAAGACTGTACACATTCCCAAGTGGTTGATACAATCGACGACCAACACAGTCTTAGAGGTCAAACTGATAAGCGAAATCCACAGCCATCAATCGGAAAATAGGTCATGACAACTGGACACATCGTTGACCCACATTTGTCGTTCAAGAAATAATTACGTAACATGATCCCCAGGATTTTGACATTTAGCGAGGCGATGCTAATCCAGTAACGTAACCCAATCTTGTGTGCACAGCAGTTTATTACACAATCAGTCAGACTGCCGTAGAACTGATTTCCCACCCCACCTTACCCCATTACCGCCCCCCCCCCTGACTATTGTCCGTTTTACCACTGTAGCTATCAAAACTTGTTTGCATAAATACCAGATTGTTTCACGTTGTGGCGATTGGGGACACTAAAACATCACAGTATTTGTCTTCTTTCGGTTCTAACGAATTGGATAAAGGGGACCAAATGTTTCAAGTTTCTAGAAATTAGGCTACATAATGGTCAGAATTTACCGCTAAACCAGACAGGTGTTGATGGAGTTCGAATTCTAGTTTCTGTTGTCGTTTGCAAAGTTTTCGATCTATTAAGTGGACGATGTGATTTCAGTTTTGGCTCTTTTAGACTGGCAAGGAAAACATATATGAAGATGCGAGAAGCAATTTCCTTTGACGATTCGTGAAGTAGTCAGAGAGAGGGGGAACCTTTTACGGCCTCCAAGGCCACAAACTAGTTGAACACATGCGAGTTTACATCGCGTTTTACTACGACAGCTATGGTACAAAGTGGTTGCCTTTCCCAATGCGCCCCCCTCCGCACTCTCTTTATGAGCGCGGTGTGGAGAAAGAAATCACTCGAGGATACGGACCAACCATACTCCAACCATAGACGCCAACGATTTTAGTATCTAAGTTCGCCTACAGTGGGCTACATCAAAATTCAACAGAGCTATCTCGACTGTCCCAACCCACTTGTGCAGTGCGCGGAAGACAGAGAGTGCTCAAATGTCAATAACTTCGGTACATCTCTCACCCGCAATGGCACCGTTTCTGTGAGGAACTGGGGTCGGGCTCTCAAGAACGAACAGTACAGATTGCTCCATGAAGCACACTTCAAAAGAGCATTCCGCAATTTCCACAAAAACTCAAATGTCATGTGAGATGAAGCGAAGCAGCAACATATTCAATTGTTTTGTTTGGTCTCCATACTATATTTGAATGGTGCCATTTAGTATTATTGATTTGTAATTCGAATTAAGGACTTGGTGCATCCATGTTCTATTGACGGCGACTCGGATCGCCACTAATCAAATAAAAGATGATCCCACCTCATCTCAACAACAACAAAATGAACGGATAAATTGTTTTCACGAAAAGTAAAAGAGCAGTGAATAATTAATTGGTGTCACCAACGAATGCTCTCGATTGGGTTCTACTTTAAGGAGTATTGTAACTGCAAAATGCACTGATACTACAACAAAGAGTATTTCGACAAACATAATCTGGACTACCTGCCGTTACTGTTGTAAGCAGTACGGACACTCTGCGAGACAGTTCCTGAAAGAAGTGGAGATACTCAAGGAGCCCAAGTGCCACAAAGCACATGAATCAAACCGTATCCCCGTACATCTTTTGAATATGGGGAATTGGCCCTTCGGATGAACTGACCACACGGTTCTCAAAAGATTGAATAAAAGGAATTAGTGATTTTTTCATCTTCATCGAGGGATTAGTTTGATCACAGTTGCATCAAAACTTTTAGTATCCATCTCACTCAGTGGGCTTTCTCCGGAACGCGAACTCGTGTTTCTGGGAGCAAGCTGGGCTCCACCCGTCTTATACCCGAACACCGCTACATATCGACTATGGTGGCATTCCTGGACATCACGGAGAACTTTGATTCTGTCGATAGATTCACTCTGTGTGACTGCTTATCGGTGTGTCCGTGAAGTATTTTTACGTCCTGATGGCTTGTATCTGTAGATCTCTGGAAGAGTGATGGTGTACGGAAGACGTTCCCTCTTCCCCACCGTATCGAGGAGTCTTCGGGAAGGAGGCTTCATCTCCCCGTTCCCCTTTGAATTAATCATGGCTGATCTACTTTAGAGGGTTTTGGAAGATCTTGAAAATGGTATTGTTTTATTTTTACCAGGTACCAGAACTGTTGACTTGGATTAGAGGAACAACACTGCCTTGTCAGAATCCGAAATTCTACAAGACCAGTCAATAGAATAGGAATTCATCTGCTTGGAAAGATCATAGAATCCCATGGAGTCAATCAAAGCAGAGGACAGTGTATATAATGCACGATAGGTTCAATCCATTCGTTTGTATTGGACTGAATGGAATCCCCAAACAGTTGAATGATGCGATACTGGCATGCGGTAGTACGAGTCAGTAACATCAAGATAAGTAGACGTAATATTCTGTTTAGTGCAAAACTAACCGTTTCGAGGAACAATGATCACCGCCTGTCGATAATAAACTGCATGCCAATTGAACAGGGCACATTTCGCATGTGTGTAAACGCCTGATTGGTTTGGGAAGTTCCGGTGTCCATACAGTGCTCGATTTGTCTGCTTGCGGCGGAATGTCCAGATTCATCCCGGTTACCCGCATCAACTTGGTTGCAATACGGTTTCGAGTCTGCATTAGACCGCGAAAATTCGATGCATTTGGTTCGATCAGACCGGGGTGAGAAGTGGAGGAACCAGCCAACTGATTGTCTTGCAGATAGACCAACCAACCAAACGGTGCAGTTTGGATATCTTTTTGGGGTAAAAACTCACAATGAGGCCCATAACGATCCAAAAGCATCAGCAAATAGAGCAAGACCTTAAGAAAAGAGATGGTGAAAGATGATGAAAGAAGCTTTAAATCTGATAAACGATGGAATATTCAATACTAACACTTCTAACTTAAACATACATCGAACTAGCAATATGGTGTGACAATTTTGCCTGAACTCTGCGATAGAGCTAGCAGATCAATATAAGGGGATATAATCCTTGAAGGATATGACAAAAAGACAATCTGTCTATCACCAAAATTTGGATCAATCATTTGTGAAGTTCTCTCTCTCTCATACAGTCAGGTCTGTATTCAAGATCATCAACGGACCAGTGTAAATGGAACAGTTCCCACCTCCCGCTATTATGTGAGTATGGCAGCATACACCACCTTGCTGACAACAGACTCCCTTTTATACCAACCAGTTTTATCCTACTGAGTTCCATGCGTGTATCTCCAACCTAATTTCCAAACCCAGTTTATGCTACATTATACTGGTTATCATACCATGAAAGGAATCATTCACCTCAACCCGATGGAACTCATATTCATGCATGACCAATTGCCGATGTGAGATGCTACCCAAATGTTGTTCAAATAAATCTATTCTATCGACTGAATATGAAATTGAAGCAAGCCTTTCGAGAGCCTAATCTCAAAAGAAAAGATCATATTGGATGAACTCAATGAATCACATCCAAATATACAGTTTACAATGGAATCTGAATCCAAAAACACAATCCACTTCCTTGATATTAGCATGACCAGAAGAAAAGCCAAAACAACTGCCCGATCCTTTTATCGAAAGGAAACCTGTTCCATCCCATATTAACACTTCGAGAGCTTTCAACCCCCAGAATACATACGTAGTCTTGTTCGAACCTTATTTGACAAGACAACGAGAACCTACACGAAAAACGGAATTGAACGAGAAAAGCAAAACCTTCGGGAGTTCTTAGCAAAAAAAACACTTACTCCGAATCGCGGAAGGACCGGTCGCGTCAGTTCCAAAAGTGCGAGTCACACTGTGCTTTCAATTCAAAGGTGATGGCATAAGCCGTCTGCTCAAAAACGACTGAGACCAGCAATCGCTCGAACCTACTGCGCAGCCGACCCCAAACCGTCCACTGGACAATTAGGATACCCACACTCCCGGCAAAAGAACGACTATCTCTGTACGCCAACTCTAATCTAAGCTACCAATTCCAATGTGGGTGCGCACCGACCTACGTGGGCAGAACAGAACAGCAATTATACAATCGGGTAGTAGGACATTCTAAATTGAGTCCAAAATCTGAAGACGCAATCGAGGTCAAGTTCGCGGCATAGAAACCACGGTCGAAACTACAAGGTCCCATCCTCGGCCATTGCTCGACATCTGCTGATGATGCAACATCAGATCAACCGAAGTGCAGCGTTTCGGATTGCCTATCTCATGTTAATCTGTCCTTACCCTGGTAACATGGTCCTTCTACCCCTACCCTTTTTTATGTTTTGTCTATTTTAATGTATTTTGCTTTACTATGTTGCCATGCTGAAGCCTAATATAAAAATTGCACTCCCTACAGTATGCACCATGTTGAGATGCAATAAAATCGTCCTGGACACAAATCGTGCAGTATTGCAACATGGTCTTTTAAATATGATACAATGAACATTTTCAAAAAGAAAGACAGAGACGAGTAACCATTTCTTATGAGAGTAATGTAGACTGAATGAAATCCCGGCCTCCCCAGAAAATAAGGTGAATGGAAAATCTCACAATATCTCCCCTGGCCAAAAGAAAGTCTTTTAAAATCGCATCAATGATTTTGAAACTTATGAGAGGATAATGTGACATAGGGCACTTCCTAACGGAATCGAATGTGATCAAGTGTAACCAAGTGATTTCGAAGAATTGGAATGAGTTCGATTCTGGTAAGAGTCAAATTTACTCCAATGGACATTTGTCCGACTATTCGAAAACAAGAAGGACCACGAAATCGGTTACCCACTTGTCCTTTGTGTTCCACAGAATATGTCGGTCGACCTGTTTTCAATTCCATGGGGACCAGTGATAGGGTGGATGACTCGGTCGAATGACTTGTGTGTTGTGTCTTTGAGAGCCAAGAGCCGGGAGCCCGACAAAGAAGCGAAAAATCTATTTTTCCTTTGATCCCAAATCTGCGGTTTGGAAAAAAATGTGACAAAAATAGGCTAATTACCGTGTCAAAATTATTGATCCTTTTTCAACTGACAGTAAAAATCCCAGCATGCAAAAACTAAGGGCACTCATTTCGTCGGATAATTAGTGTGTTCAGTGAGGAATGACGCCTGGAGTGCACATCTTAACGCTGAGGTTACTATTATACCTCTTCTGGATGCTACAAACACCCTTACAATGGCCCAGTTCGGTCTGAACGATTATTTCCGCTCTTGATGTGTTTATCCAAGTGCCGTAAACCACATTATTTTTCCTACGTACGTTTAAACGATACATAGGCTTGGTCAACAATGAAAACCCGACTACGTTGTGCTGTTTCAATTACGACCCAAAGGAGACCTATTGTGAACTTTATTACCCTTCCTCGTCCCCGACCGCCAAGAACAAAGCAAAGGAATTGTGTAACATAGATTGACAACTGACGACGAAATCATCGTATGCTACCAATGAATCACCTTTTGAAACATGTGATGCATTTACATTGCACACTGGACAATTTACTGAATCATATCGTCATCATTGTGGAGTGATTCTGGCCAACTGAGTTTTATCGATCGCCACAAAACCCGGGGAACATACAAAGGAAACATGATTCAAGGCCATTGAATTCGGCCGTGCCTTGTTGCCGTCAGGTGTTATTTCGCAAAGGTACAGAGGTGAAACACCCGGTCCTCACTTTTGAATCAACTTATCGAATTCTCAGTAGCTTTCATCACATTACACTGGGTCACATTTACATTACTCTTGACACAACTGCCTCTGATTTTCGTTTGTCTGTTGACTCATTCTAGTAAAAACTAGGTTTAGACCAGTCTCTATGCATTGCGGTTGGTGATTTCAATCGTTCTGACATCTCTTTTCTAATATCATTGGACATAACAAATATCGTTAATTTTCCTACCCGACTAGGTAGAATTTTTGTAAACAACCCGGAAATCATTTTATTTAAAAAGCGGGCTCCCATGAGCAACTCAGACCACTGCTATATTATTTTACATCCTAAAACTTACGATAAATATTTTCATCACCAAATGACCCGTTTTATCTCAAGACTCCTCGGAAGAAGAATTTGCTCCCTTGATAACTTAGAGACACTAAGAGGCACAGTTTTATCTACCGGTTTTACTGTCTTCTCTAATGCTGATAACTCTTCCAGTTGTGAGCATCTCACGCGTTACCTTAACTTTTGTTATGACATGTTATCCATGTCGTTCTCGAAATGCAGATCTTTGGTATCCGGACCACAGAACGTTTTTCGATTCAAAAACTGAATCATTTCCCTAATGAAATAGATTTTTAGAATAGCGTGCTTTATAAACGATATCCTGCTTGTAAATGATGACATATATGAAAACAGATGCCAATTGCAATTTGTAGTAAATCGTCCAGTATACACACACACACACACACGGGTCTGGTTGAGCTATTTAGTATGCATCACGTTTCTATGGTTTGAGTTCATCCCTTTCCTTCGCCGCCAGTGTGCACTATCTGGCATTCCTTAAGATCTCATACCGTTTGTGTCACGACGATTGATTCCTTCAGGGTAAAACTTAACGAATCATTAACAGGCATTACATTCCAATATCCATGAGCACACATAACACAACCGAATACAGTATATGAATTTCATTCATTTTTGTTCCAGTTCAATTCGTATAAACACTCTATGGGACAAGAAAAGCATCTGCTTGTAAGTAATGCCCATAATAAAACTTTGACTTTGACTCTCAAATTTTTCTTTAATTTACAAATGGGGTCATTCGTAAGTGGGAAATTACAGCTACTAGCCTAACGTTGTTGCTATGCAAACAGCTGTTGGATTGCACGTCGAGTCGAATCTGTGTTACTCTCTCTCTCTCTCTCTCTCTCTCACCTGGTAGACCAAATGTTCTCCTCCACACTGAGCACTTCATGGATAAGTGGATTCCGCGAACAAGAGGAACGGGAATTGCTGAAATTGAGGTGGAAACAAGTCCGGTGAACTCGATTGGTTAACAACAATTTGCCAGATATCAAAAACTGCGCTGAATTTTATCAATATGAGAACCTTTGTGCAATTTTAAGCATGGCGGATTCAATGTTTGGAAAAGAAGAAGACGGAAACAGCCCCGCGGAGATAATATTGAGCTGTCTATAAGGACAACATTGGATAAGTCAAACCGGTGGTGTCGATCGATGCATCGTTCTCGACGATCTAACCAACTCAGCAGGAACAGCACAAGAATGAAGAGGTGCGAAAACCGTCAATATCTGATCGAACATATCAGAAATGTGCCAGCAACATCAATCGTGCAACGTCGTGCTGTACGTTCCAGAGTGAGTTGTTTATAATTCATTGGGTGAGTACGTGACTAGCTTATGAATATGATCAATACATCAGTTTCAATCAGTTTTCCAAATGGGTACCCAGGACTTTAGGATACACCATACTTCGGGGCAGCACACACAGACGAAGGGGTTTTTCCTAAAGTCCTGGG